ACATATATATATATATGCATACACGTACCATATAAACGCATATGTATATATATATATACACAAGTACATATATACAAATAGTCTGCATATGTACATGACGAGTACATGCTAGCAGCAAGAGCAACAGTATTGATAGCATGCTAGTGCATAACAACTAACGAAATTGGCTGGACCAGTAAGTAAAGAAACTAAAAGCTGACGCATCAGATAATGTATGACAGAATAACAACAAGACATATGTACAAGCAAGCTAAAACGACAATAACAAACAAGCATCGCGCAAGCATAAAGCTAGACAGGTGCACCAGTGCAGAAATAGACAAACAAAAACATATACGGAACAACGAGAATAAACAAACTAGGCCTTCTATTCAACACGAGAAAAGACAACGACATCAACACGTAAATGACTGACTGACTGCATGAATAACTGAATACATGAAAGAAAGAAAGAAAGAACGAACGAACAAACGAAATAACGACATGTTCACCTAAAGGACGAAAGAGCGAACTAAGGAAAAGACGAGCAACACATTAAATGAGACGGACAGGAATACCGAACTAACGAAACAGCCAAACAGAAACGCATAAACAGCGGAATGGCGGATGGATGGATGGATGGATGGATGGATGGATGGATGGATGGACGGATGGAGGGATGCATGGATGCATGGAGGGATGCATGGATGGATGGATGGAGGGAGGGATGGATGGATGGATGGATGGGTTGATGGATGGAAGGATGAAAACAAAGGTCAAGACAATGCAAATTACAATTGAACTAGTTAGCCAAGGCATGCATGAGTGAATAAACTAACGATTAACACAATGACTCATTGATTCAGTCAATGAGCCAATGCAAGAATGAACGTGCATGGGTGGACGACTGAATGAATGAGTGCATGAACGAACATGAATGAACATATACAGAATACTAGCTAGTAGCAACACTAACCGCAATAACCATCATACCTACAATCAATCAGAGACAAGCACCACCAAGAGCCGGACCCAGGCACGCATGTCGATGACCATGACACCTCTGGATCATGAGGTTTCTCTCGGAACTTCCGGGCGCCGTTGGTGATACAGCTGCTCTTGAAGGGGGCCAGGGGGTCTAGGGAGTTAATGTAAGGGCCTTAATAATTAGAATAGATAATTATGATAAGGAACCTCCCAAAAACTATAGGTAATAATCTTGGCCAGGGCCTTAATAATTAGAATAGATACTTATGATAAGGAACCTCCCAAAAAGTATAGGTAATAATCTAGGCCAGGGCCTTAATAGTTAGAATAAATAATTCTGATAAGGAGCCTCCCAAAAAGTATAGGTAATAATTTAGGCCCCTATATTCGGGGTTTCGGGGCTCGGGGCTTGGTGAAGCCTTTTGCCTGAAACAGGTCGCAAAACATGTCGTGCAAGTTTAGGTTTTTAGGGTTGAGGGTTTAGGGTTTAGGGTTTAGGGTTTAGGGTTTAGGGTTTAGCGGCCCTTTCCGCTCGCAGCAAAAGCTCTGCCAGAACCTGAAACGCGACCTCTGCCATCTCAATATGAGTAGTTGTCAAAATGATGGTCCCTTTTGGGGTACCCTAAATAATAGGTGCCGTACTATAATAAGGACCCAAAAAGGGACCATAATTTTGACAACCACTCATATCGAGACAGACCTTTCCAACATCTGTAGGCCGCTTTTGGGCCACATCGTTGGAGCCCTTCCGACCGGCACATAAGCAGGGCACTTTTGATGATTGCCAGTCCCGTCATGCATGTCTACTGCTGCTTTCATGGCACGCTCTGGTTGATATACTGGTTTGGGGGAGTCTTGAAATGTCGGGGGCGGTAAGACAAAACTGGTTTGCACGCCTTTTGCGACTCACAGCTCCTTGTGGCTGCCGTTCTTGTCGATCTGCATGAAATGTACGGTGTCCGACGAGCCGTCCTGAACGAGGTTGGTGGTCGCCTGTGGGTAGCCGGAGTACCCCTTCTTCCAGGACCACCACTTCTTCTTCCAACTGCCGTAGTAACTCTTCGGTGCTTCCGGCTCTTCTGTGGTTGTTGTTTCCGGTGCTTCCGTGGTCGTGGCAGCCGGCTGGGTGAAAAGGCCCACCTTCACCATGTCGCCGTACGAAGTCAATGCAAGAGGACCGAGCAAACGTCGTGTGCCATGGTAGCGAGCTTTGAAGCTGTGCAAGCACTTGCTGTTGTCCCAGGAAATGAAGCGCTTGGCGATCGCGTCCACCTCCTTAACAACCTTCTGGTCGTCAGCGATGTCCTTGAAGATGAGCTTGCCCAGGCTGCCACCATCAGGGGCCGACTCCAGATAGGCGACTGCGGCTGTTCCCGGAACCTTGCCGTTCACCCAGTGGGTCACGTGATCCGCATGCTCTTGCACATCGCCAGTCTTGCGGGAGACTGGGACGGAAGACTTGGAGGCCTCCAGCTGTGCTGCCTCCTTGCCAGTCATTGCTTCCCGAAGACGCTTCTCCAGCGTTGCATGGCCTGAGACTTCGCGGATGATCTTATTCACCCCAACGGGCTCCAGCACTTCCACTGCGTTGGAGAGTTGTGCCTCCTGCTCTTTCGACCTCAGCTGCGACTTGAGGCGCTGTGCGAGCTCTGGCGCCTCCTGACGCACTCGCTCCGACCCACTCCTCTGCGCCTCGAGGTCTGTGATCACGGCCTTCGCTTCAGTGTCGGATAGGAAGTTGTCGATGACCCTGATGGAAGACAAGCACGTCACGTCCGGACTCGCAAGTGTGTGTGCGAGCAGAAGCGGTGCCAAGAGCCAGGATGCAGCCATGCTGAAGCCGAGAGTGGAGCTTCTCAAAGTCGCTCGAGCCGCAATGACTGTTGCCACAGCCATTTGGATTAGGGCTCCTGGCTTGTAGTCTCCGTGTTAAGATTCTGGTCCGTGGAAATATTCTTCGTAGTGACGTAGTGGCAGTAGTAGCAGAAGCAGGCGTGGCCGTAGTAGTAGTCGTCGTCGAAGAAGTAGTAGCAGCAGCGGTAGTGGTAGTGGTAGTGGTAGTGGTACTGGCTTGTGGTGGTGGTGCTAGGCGTAGTGGTAGTGCTAGTGGCAGTGGTCGTGGTAGTAGTAGCGGTAGTAGTAGTAGTAGTAGTAGTAGTAGTAGTAGGAGTAGCAGTAGCAGTAGCAGTAGCAGTAGCAGGAACAGCAGCAGCAGGAGGAGTATTAGTAGTGGCGGCAGTAGCAGTAGCAGGCGGAGACCTTCCAAACTCGATGGCTCGGCTGTGAAACCAACTAGCAACCCGTTCTCCAAGCGAACCCTGTCTTCCTGGCTTCGGCCTGGACAATCCTGGAATCCGGCTTGAAACCGGTTGCCTGACAACTCCGCAATCCAATAGAAAGAATTGACAGAACTGGGCGTCCTACAATCATCGGGAGAAACCCTTAGTCTTTCGACGACGCCGCGGCCGACGAGAACTGCATGCGCTCCTGACGCAAGACTGAGTCAACATCACTACCACCACCGGGACCAACAGCCACAAACACAACCGCAAACAACGTGATCACCCGGCAACCAGCAACGATAACCACACCGAACGTGATCACCCGGCAACCAGCAACGATAACCACACCGACAACAACAGCAGCAGAGAAAAGGCACGACCCTCAACCACGACCAGCACTAGCGTCACCACCACATATTGAATACATTGCCACTGGCTGGTGTACCACAAACGGGCTATGACGATGACAAGGCCGACCAGCATGAACGCAGCAAGCAAAGCAGCAAAACACAAACATCGGAGCAGCTCCTGCCTCGTCGGTCCTCTGTAGGAAGCCACAGGCCGACATAGCGCCAACTACCGGAAGAGGGCTTAGGGCTTAGGGTTTAGGGTTTAGGGGTAAGATGGTGTCCAATGTGCAACTCTTGATCGCAAGAGAGTCCGATGAGGCTCTCAACAGAGTCTCATGTTCACGTCCATGCTCTTCAGAAAGCGTGGCAACAACTCGGTCACTGGTCTGCAGCAGGGCATCATGTAACTATGTATCGATGCGACTTCTACAGAGTCCGATCTCAAGCTTGCGGCAATAGCAGCGTCTTTGGACCACCGAGGCAATTTCGCAGCACTTTCGCTGCCCGCAAATCAGGGAGAGCGCTAGTCACTGCATGATTCAGAGCTTGGCTCTGATCTCGCAGCTTTGGTCACCTCACCAAAGGCATGTGGGACATGCCTCTCTGCCATGTGCGAAGAACTCCTAAGCTCCAGCCCTCAGTCGGCCGGCACAAGTTCTGCGGCATGGCATCAGCATTTGCTGAACATGAAGGCGCGGAAAAAAGATAGCATCAGATTCAGACTGGCTAAGTGCACCTCGACCAGGGAGCCCTACATTAAATAAAGTTTGCATAGCTCGGCGTTAACGCCAAGCTCTAGAGCTCGATGTCGGTGTCCAGGCTCGGTTGAACTGCGTGTAGGCAGGGCACCTTGAAAAGCACAGGCTTGACACACCAACAGAAAACTTACATGTGGGCTTCTTGTCGTAAGCGGAGTTCTATGAGTTCTATGTAAGGGTTCTCTCCCATTTCTTTACAGACTGTTGGAAGAAGGTTTGCGCACCACCTGCCATGTCACCCGCTCTCCATGCCTGGATTATTGGTCAAGCCTAGAGGAGTAGGCACAAGGAGCCCGGGTCCGTCGGGCCTTAAGGCTTGGATTTGGGCTTGTCAACTGGGATTGATTGCTTGCCTTCAGCGACGGTACAAGAGCATGTGCGATCAAGAAGCAAACCCTCCGAAAGGCACCAGAGCATGTGACATAAAAAGAAACCTCCAAAGGGCCTGGAGCCTTTGCAAACCGCCCGACAGGCACCAGAGCCTTCAAAAGCAGGAGCAAAGCTTTCGACAGGGGCCAGGGCGCTTGAGATAAAGGAGCAAACCGCTGGAAAGGGTTTCACTTTCACAGATTCGCACAGTTGAGAATAAGAAGCGAAAGGCTGGCAAGGGATTGGAAACAACTCTCGAAAGCGCCTGAGAACAAGGCGCGAGCGGTTCGGCAGGGGCAGGAGTGAGAATGAGGAAGAAACCGCTCGAAAGGGGTTAGAGCGTTTGAACGACGAAAGCAAACCGCTCGAAAGGGACTCGAGCAAGTGCGAGAAAAGACTACCGCATGCAAGGGACTAACGCATTTGCGAGAAGAAACAAGCCACTCGAAAGGGACCAGAGCAATTGCCAGAAAAATCAAACCGCTCGAAAGAGACTAAAGCAAGTCTGAGACAAAGTAAACCGCTAGAACGGGGCTAGAGCAATTGCGAAAAACAGCAAACCGCCCGAAAGGGCCTAGAGCACTTGCGAGACAAAGCAAATCGCTCGAAAGGGCCTAAAACAGTTGCGAAAACAAACAAACCGCTCGAAAGGGACTACAGCATTTAATCTGTGAGAAACCGCTCGAAAGGGACTAGAATAGTTGCGAGAAACAGCAGAACGCACGCAAGGGACTAGAGCAAACCGATCGAGAGCGGACTAAAGCAATTGCGAGAAACACCATCCGCTCGAAACAACTAAAGCAATTGCAACAAAAATAGTGGCTCGAAAGGGACTAACGCAACTACAAGAAAACGAAACCCGCTGCAAAGGGACCAAACGAAATGATGAGAAAAAGCAAGCCGCTCGAAAGGGACTCGAGCAATTGCTCGCCCGAAGGGGACTAAAGCATATCGTGCTCAGCTTGACAGGGAGCAGCGCAATTGTGATAAGATAAAAGTGCAGTGTGGGGTGTGCCTCTCGGATCATGTGGCTTTTTGCTGATTTGGGGGCCCAAGCATGTCAAGCAGTCGGGCCATAGCTCGCCCCCCATCTGGGTGGTTGTCAAAATGATGGTCCCTTTTTGGGTCCTTATCATAATACGGCACTTATTATTTAGGGTACCCGAAAAGAGACCCTAAACCCTAAACCCTAAACCCTAAACCCCTAAACCCTAATTTTGACAACCACCCAATCTGGATTTTCGTCGAGACTCTGCGGTCCAGAGCCGCCGCGGGAATCGAAGGGCGGCCGATAGGTATGGCAGGGCCTCTCCGA